AATTCCAAATATTATAAATTTATGTGTCCGCATATTTGAAATGAAAAGAAAGAAGAAAAAGAAAGAATGAAGATATACATACACGTACATAAATGAATAAATTCATGAATATATTATTGAATAAACAATATTACATACAATAAATAAAATGTTATTAACTGATTCAACTCTCTAACAAAACATATCTCTTATTTATAACGGTAAAGTTCATATGCACTGCTTGCCTTAGCAGGAATATGTTAACTTAACACTTTCCCAACAGACGCATTTGCAATTGGCTTTGCAGTTGGCTAGGGCAAGGTCGCATTTACTTGCCGTCTGCCTAAAACCAGATTAGATACGAGAAGCCACACAAATCTAACCATATACATATATGTAGGTATATACTCTCAACCAATATCAATTAATAGCGCTTTAGACAGTCTGCGTAGCGATTAACAGCATTGGCGACTAGTTTACAGCCCTGTTAAATCGTTGTATATTGAACTCTAATCTAAATCCAATTGACTTTGCATGCAAGCGATCGTTCATACATAAATATATTCTGATTAGCAGCAAGCCGCAGCTGATTGTGTTCGTTGGTTCCAATTAGAATTGCGATTGCAATTGCAGTCAATCAAATTGGTTTCATCAATTCCAGCGCACAGATGTCGCTTTTGACTTTGCTGCTCGGCCTGTTTGTCTGCCTGTGCCTTGGGCTGTGGCACCTGCGTCAGCGCCTGCAACTGGGCTGTAGCCTGCCTGGACCCTGGGCCTTGCCTGGCTTGGGCAACGCCCAGATGATTGGCAAACTGAAGCCAGAGTGTGAGTCGGGAGCAGCGCCTTATCGAATTGGAGTCCACTTAAAAGCTTCTTGTCGCCGCAGTTATCTTTCTGGTGTTTACAGAGCTGCGCGAACGCTTTGGCGCCACCTATCGCCTGTGGCTAGGACCTCAGCTGTGGGTGTTTCTGCACAGCGCCGAGGAGACGCGCCAGGCACTGCACGATCCTACGCTGCGCAAAGCGGACACCTTTCAGCAGCTCTCGCCCCTCATTGGCAATGGCCTGCTGATCAGCCATGGCAGCGAGTGGATGGCACAGCGCCGCCTGCTAACGCCCGCCTTTCAGCCGCAGCTGCTGCGCCGCTTTGCGCCTGCGTTGTCCAAACATGCGGAGCGCCTGCTCCACCGTCTGCAGCGAGCAGACGGAAATGCCATCGAGGTAACAGATTACCTTTTCGCCTGTCTTCTGGATTGCATTGTGGGTAAGTGTGGTATAAATAGTGACATAGCCATTGACATAATGAAATAGAAATGAGGACATTCTAGAGCTGGACAAATTTATTTATTCATGAGCTATCGATTGCCCCACTCATTTCCAAAATATCGATATGTAACGTTTGATTTTCAAAAAAGCGCTGGCAGCACCACAATCATTTTAAAACCTCTATTAGCTCGAAGGTCTAATAAATAAATTAATGGTTAACTCTAACCGTAGAGAACTCAATGGGCTTTGCGCTGGACACGCAGCTGGCCGAGCACTCGCCCATTGTGAGCGCCTTTCATCGGAGCAGTGAGCTGCTGTTCAAGCGCATGATTAATCCTCTGCTGACCTCCGATTTTGTGTTCAAGCGTACGCGACTGTGGCGCGAGCTGCGCGTCCAGCTGCAAGTGATTCACATGCACATGGATCGAATTATCGAGCAACGCGAGAAGCAGCTASAGGCAGAGCAGCAGCAGCCAGAGCAGGAGAAACGACCACGCATACTCTTGGATGCTATGCTGCTGGCGGGGCTAAGCCGTCAGCAGATTCGCGACGAGGTGAACACATTTGTCTTCGCTGTGAGTTGTCACTGCCACCTCCCCTCTCTCTCTCTCTCTCTCTCACACTATCTCTATCTCGATCTACGACAGGGCGTGGACACTACCACGGCGGCCATGGGCTTCGTGCTCTATGCCCTGGCCAAGCAGCCATCGGTGCAGGAGCGCTTGCACACCGAGCTCTCTCAGCTGCCACCAGATGGCGCCACGAGCCTGGATGCTCTAAATGAGCTTGACTATCTGGATGCCGTGTTGCAAGAGACTCTGCGCATGTACACCATAGTGCCCAGCACGGGCCGACAGACGACCAGAGCCACGACGATTGGCGGGCGACGCTACTGCGCCGGCGTCACGCTCTGGATCAACATGTACGGCCTGGCGCACGACGCCAGCCACTTCGCTGAGCCATACGAGTTTCGGCCAGAGCGCTGGCTGCAGGCGCAGCAGCCCACACCCTTTAGCTATATACCCTTTTCGGCTGGCCCACACGTGTGCATTGGCCGCCGCTACTCGATGCTGCTGATGAAGCTGCTCACCGTTCGCATTGTGGAGCACTTTCGCCTGGAGCTGAAGCGGCCACTGGAGCCGCTTGTGCTGCAGGCCCAAATGGTGTTGCGCTCTCGGGATGGCATCCACATTAGGTTTGTGCCGCGTGGAGCTGTATGAAATCATAACGACTAATACATACCCTGCACTTGTCAGCTTTCGCCTGAGATTTAAGAATTTTTAGAACGAATTTGTAAGAAATTTTTAAACTAATTTATTTTCTATATATGTATCTACAGGATTTTGTGAATGGTATTTCACAAATTTATTTTAAATATGACTTTTGTTTTTAAATATTTGTTGTTTTTTTTTTTATAGATTTATTCATATATTATTGTTAATATTATTTTTTTTTATTATCTATTAAATAAAAAAAAATTGTACTAAATATTTTAAATAAATAAATAGTTTAATTTTTGCACATAATTTT